TACATATAAAAAAGATAAAACATGATAATTAAATACATTATGATCATTAGACCTGACCTGACCTGACCTGACCTGACCTAGTATAAGTGTGACAGGGAGATAGAACTGTACTTTGTGTATTTTATCAGATTATAAAGATGTCTTATCCCACTGACGATACCATAACTCTCTCTCTCTCTCTCTCTCTCTCTCTCTCTCTCTCTCTCTCTCTCTCTCTCATCCTCCCCGGCTCAGAAAATCTTATCAGTAGCTCCACCCGGCTCAGCATGTTGACAGAAGGTCGAAAAGATAAAAGGATAACTCAGCTGTCTCCTTTCATAAGCGACAAGATAATCACAATTGCATCTCTAATAAGCTTCGTCATAAGGGCGAAAACACTTTGGTTATGGCTCTATAATGGTATTGTACTCAGAGTAACAATGGTTATGGGTTCATTGACTCTATATATGTGTGTGTGTGTGTGTGTGTGTGTGTGTGTGTGTGAATTAGTGTTGCTTTAATTGTATAAAGTAAATCATAATTATGTACATATATCACTGCCTTAGGGTCAAGTAACACACACACACACACACACACACACACACACACACACACACACTCTATTTCCTCCACATAACAATGGCATAGGACCTCCAGCTTAAACACCCCCACCTCCTGTGCTAACAATTGTTTTCCAGATTTTAGACTATGTACACACGCTACTTTTATTCTCATTTGCATACCCAGTGGTGTGTATTTTTACATTTTGTATTTCATGATTTATTATTATTATTATTATTATTATTATTATTATTATTATTATTAGTTTTTGCTGTTGTTTTTCTTGTTAGTGCTGTTATTTTTGTTACTGTGCGTATTATTATTACCATCAATTAAGAGGGAAGCGAACATGTAGGAAGCAACGGTGTGTCTGTGTGTGTGTGTGTGTGTGTGTGTGTGTGTGTGTGTGTGTGTGTGTGTGTGTGTGTGTGTGTGTGTGTGTGTGTGTGTGTGTGTGTGTGTGTGACAGGATGAAACATGTGGTATGCCGCGTTATACAGGGGGCGGGGGGGGCGGGGGGCAAAGCGAGAAGGGGGAGTGAGGAGTCTTGGATACATAAATCTTCAGGACTAAACTAGATATAAATCACATAGGCTTTACTGTAGCTGTAGAAAAATCACCACTATAACAAAAAAAAAACCATCCATTAAAACAATTAAAAATAACACAAATAATAACACCTGTAATAATCCATATAAACAATTCAGCCTATAGATATCTGATGTTTGTTACTGAGAAAATTACATATTACCACATTTACTTTATATCAGATGAGGTTGTAAGAGTGAAGTTAAAAAAAAAGTCATCCGGGGTGTTGTCTATGAGTGTTAAAAGCCAAAACAAATAAGTAAAATCAACACAATATAAAAGAAAAATGTGAAAAATATCATGACTCTACCGGATGAATTTCAACCAGTATTGTTGTTATGGTAAATTGAAACAATATTTGTGCTGTGTAGTGTGTGTGTGTATGTGTGTGTGTGTGTGTGTGTGTGTGTGTGTGTGTGTGTGTGTGTGTGTGTGTGTGTGTGTGTGTGTGTGTGACTCCATTTTGTAGGATATTATTATTTATTTATTTTTTGAGAGAGAGAGAAAGAGAGAGAAACAACAACAACAACAATAATAACAATAACAACCTCATTACAGGAGTGTCATCATCTTACATAAAATACAAATACAGAGTTACAGAAAAACAGAAACGAGGAATATGAATCGAATAGTAACTACACAAAACAGTACAACATTTTTATATAACCCGTTTTTACCTTACCATCTAATAATCTATATAACATCAACAATATAACTTTTCAACATATAATAATTCTAACTTCCAGTCTGAGAACTAAATATTTATAACTCATATCTATCTTTCTATCTAGGAGCAATGACCGAGGAACTATATAATTTATGTATTAATAATATTTCGTGTTTGTCATTAGCAGGAATTCCATAGGGACAGAATAACTCATTTCCTTGATCACAAACGTAAAAGTCTCATCATCATTGATCATTCTGTCGACCACTGTCCCCTGAGAGCCTGAACGTACGTGTGTGTGTGTGTATGTGTGTGTGTGTGTGTGTGTGTGTGTGTGTGTGTGTGTGTGTGTGTGTGTGTGTGTTCCGTCATAGAGACACACTGTAATTTCCGTCTATTTCCGTCGTGTTTCTGGACCTCCGCCGTTGGAAAAAGTTGAAACTAATGAACATTGTTGTAGTGACTGTGTGTGTGTGTGTGTGTGTGTGTGTGTGTGTGTGTGTGTGTGTGTGTGTGTGTGTGTGTGTGTGTGTGTGTGTGTGTGTGTGTGTGTATGAGTGTGTGTTGACGCCAGTGTGTGGATCTAGATGTGTGTGTGTTGTCATGCATATCAGTGTATTGCCATGTGTTGGCGTGTATATCGTACATCTGTTTTGTTATGTGTGTGTGTGTGTGTGTGTGTGTGTGTGTCGTGTTTTATGATCCATGTGATTAAAAATGTGTGTGAGTGGCAGTAGGTGTGTGTGTGTGTGTGTATATAACTGTTTATGTATGTACGTATGTGTATCTGTGTGTGTGTGTTGTGTTTTATGAACCGTGTTATTAAAATGTATGTGAATGGCAGTGTGAGTGTGTGTGTATATATATCCATAACAATGATTTACACGTCATTGAACGTTGCATCAATAACTCTCCCAATAAGATAATAACACAGACAAATAAAAACAATAAAATAAAGAACACGAACAAAAACAACAACAACAACAAAAGAAGAACAAGAAGATGACAAACAAGATCAAGAATAAAGTGAAAAAAAAACAATATTAGAGAAGTAAACAACATAAATTAAGTGAAGGGAAAAAGGATTACGAAAAACATAAGAATGACTAAAACAAAAAGCAAACAGAACAAAATAAAACAACAACACAATCAACCATTCGAATCAACAATCAGCCAATTATTTACATTACTTACACTCCACCAAACAATCAACATATACCCTTCCTTTCCTCGTTTCCCCCATTGGCTATCAGATCAAATCGAAGTATCATTATCGATTATCTCATCATCATCATCATCGTCTCCCCCTCTTCGTCACAGGGCTTGGTCAGGCAACAATAGGGGCGTGATATGAGAGAAAGGGATGTATGGAGTAGGTGAGAGAGAGAGAGAGAGAGAGAGAGAGAGAGAGAGAGAGAGAGAGAGAGAGAGAGAGAGAGAGAGAGAGAGAGAGAGAGAGAGAGAGAGAGAGAGAGAGAGAGAGAGAGAGAGAGAGAGGTATCTGCATATGTACAAGAGGTTCAGCTAACACTCCTGGAACATAACACACGGCATTTCAGACAACCGGATGAGCCACTAATACACTTGGTTTCAGACACATCGTTAAGCGGTATGTTGACACGGTATAAAAACCACTAGTCACGGTACAAGCACGTAGTACATTTATAGCACGGTAGTACACGGTATAACACGGTAGTACACGGTATTACACGGTATTACACGGTATAATACGGTAGTACACGGTAGTACACGGTAGTACACGGTAGTACACGGTATAGCACGGTATTACACGGTAGTACACGGTATAGCACGGTAGTACACGGTATAGCACGGTATAACACGGTAGTACACGGTATAACACGGTATTACACGGTATAACACGGTATTACACGGTATTACACGCTAGTACACGGTATTACAAATATTCCAATTTTCCCCATTTAAGTGTTAATACGGAGCAGCAACACAGTACATGTTCCTGCCTGCTACTGTTACTGAGGCCGTTAATTCTCTCCGCTGAGGCACTGAAATTTACGCTTCATATTCAGAACAAAGTTTATCCCGACTAAAGTTTGAATAAAATATGTATATATATATAAACCTGTAATGTTTAAATGTTCAAAGAAATTAGATTTATATGTGGCTAGCATACATATCTCCTGTGTTTTAGATAAGTATTGAAGATTAATAAGTATTTATATTAATTTCTGAAATAGAGTTAATTACGTGTATAAATATCATATCGAAAGAAGACATATATTTTATCCCAGTTAGAAGTACATGTTGGAAGGGTCATTCATCATTGGCACAAGAGTACTGACTTAGAATTAGACTCAGGGGAATATACATTTTTCCAACAATTGTAGATATATGTTGTAATAGTTGTAGAAACGCCAGGTGGTTAATAAAAAAAATTGTAAGATTAATTGTCTTCAGTACACATTCCCCCCCCCCACCCCCTCGGTGTGTGTGTGTGGGGGGGGGGGCTATTTTATTTTGTTTTGTGTTGAGAAATTGTGTCTTTTTCTGGATGTTTGGTGGGAGAGTTGGGGACGTGGGTCTGAGAGGGGGTTGGAGGGCGATGGGGGTGGGAATTTGTGGAGGGAGTTAGAGATGGGAATTTTTGGAGGGAGTTCGGGGTGGGAATTTTTGAAGGGAGTTCGGGAAGGGAAAGGATTGAGGGTGGGAATATTTGGAGGGCTACAGGTTGGAATTTGGGACATGAAACATAAAAGAAAATACAATCCCTGAGAAAAAACAAAAACAAACACCTGTATAATGTCAAGTATGAACCCTTAAAGTATTCCCAGGTAAAAAAAAATCCCCTGAGGTGGGAAGAGATATAAATACACTTGATCTACCTCACCCAGGTGAACTTTTGTACATTCTGGTCACCTTTAATATTCACAATCATGGGTGTCTTTTTTTAACGAACATTCATCCCAGCACAGGTAAACATTTAGTACATTGTTTAGGGCTTACCTTAATTAATCCGCAGACACACGAACTCAAAATTAGTATAGTAAAATTTTTCAACCACTAATGTTATCATTAATGTCTATTTTTTATATTAGATTTTTTTTATACCTTTTAAAGAATATTATAACCACTGAATCCAAACTCTTATAATTTATTTGCCTTCATCATTATCACTGTTGAAAAGAGAATTATTTTTTTACTTAACGCAAATAATTTTTTTTTTCAGGTAAAATCGTAGCTTACAAGGCTAATTTAAATATTCAACCAACATGACTGGACATTTTCATAGTTTGTCGGATTGAATGTTTGTGTGTTTCTATCCGAGTAGAGACAAGCAGAGCAGTGGAACGAAACGTGAACTAGGCGTGGAAGACCAACACTGATGAACACGGGTGAAGAAAGAACAAGAACAAAGAGTGAAAGAAGGAAAACAGAATAATCACGAAAAGTTGTAAGACAAAAGTGGATAATGATAATGGAAGAATAAAATTGAATGAACGTAGTGAAAGAAAGAAATTTGCAAATATAATAATTGAAGAAAACAGCAGAATAAAGATGATGTAAAACAAATTAAACTAAATAAACATTGTAGAAGAACGAAACTTAAGAGAAATAACACAAATTAATAAAGACAGTGGAAGTGACTGAATAAATAACGTGAAAGAAAAAACCTAAATAAACAGTGTAAAAGAAAACAGAGTAAGAAAAACAGAATAAATGCATTGGAAAAAAACAACTGAACAGACACATTAGAAAAAACTAAATAAATACCGTGAAAATTAAAAACTAAACAACGTGAAAGAAAAAATCTGAATAAGTGAAAAAAAAAACTGACTAAACAATAATGAAAAACAAAATTGAATAAAAAAAACTATAGTGAAAGAACAAAAAGTGAATAAATAGTGTAATAACAAAAAAAACAATGAATAAATAACGAATAAGACAAAAAAAATTAATAATAAACCTTGTAAGTGTAGAAACAAGGAATAAAACAAAAGTCCACAAGCTACATTCCCCCATTAGAGGTCAATACCCCACACACACACTCGTATTAACAGCAAGATAGTGTAGTGCTCTAGTGTGTGCTTTGAATACACGTTTACAGACTTCTTATATAGTATATGTGGGTTTTGTACGCCTCCCTCCCTTGAGAAGTCACCGTAAATCCACATTGTATCGTGTATAAATGCAACACCTATCATCCTACTACTATTATACTGATGGGAAATAGTACTCTGATTCAGGGTTACAGTTGTGTCATGGGCCAGTGTGGACGTTTGACTTACATATATACGTACATACACACACGGATCCTTGAGGTATTTGTGGATGAGGTTATGTGACTGACCTACAAGGAGTCGAGGTTAGGTCATTATGCTTCTGGGGCACACGCAAGAAAGTCACCAGGATAATTGCGTTTTTTAAGCTGCTCTCTCATGACGAACTGAAGGAAGTGTTCTGAACTAAAGTGCAAAGAACATGATTAAGGTCACACTTACTGACGATAAAGTGTGATTTAAGTTACACGTACTGATGAAAGAACATGATTAAAGTCACACTTACTGACAATAAAGTGTGATTTAAGTTACAGGTACTGATGAAAGAACATGATATAAGTTACACATGAAAGAACATGATTTAAGTTACACGTACTGATGAAAGAACATGATTTAAGTAACACCTGCTAACATACAGAAAACAAAATCATAATATAATTCACACGTAGAAAAAGGGTATTGCGTGCTACCAATCGTTACCACTGCGCGACATATCAACACACTTCTCCTCTACCACCACCATGAACCCAAGAGACCTGAGCCGACCCACGGGGGCTTGTGGCACGATAGTGAGGACGTGTTTTTTCATTCTCGCTGCCGCCACCTGGACTCACTCCATATACCTTGACGGTGAGTATATAATCCGGCTTTAGTAGCTACCATTAGTACAGGATGCATTTATACTTTTTAGTTAACATAATATTACAGTAATAGACAATTGTATTTCTATGACAGATTATTACAATGGAAATCAACTTTTTTTTTTACAAATTTACCTAAACATTACACTAAATTACATTTATTCTTTATTAAACAGATAATTATTGTAAAATACTACTATATTTATTCTACGGAATATCATTACAATATTCATTTATATTTTTTTGTTCAAAAGATTATGACTGTCGTGATAAATTAAATATTTCAGTAGTATTTTGGTGTCTAACATCTGTATTTTTCACAATGTTTCCATTAGCCACATCTTATATATTCCTATAGCATGATATGATTCACGTTTTCTATTTAACGTCTTTATTACTTAGCATAAACTATAGTTGTATAGAAAATCTTTATTTGTTTTTTTTGCCTGTTTATGCTTCTCAGAGTGTCTCACTGTTCAGGGTCACAGGCTCTTACATCAAGAGGAAGTTGATGACTAAATGTTGTTCTTTTGGGCGTTTTTTATTATAAAGAGACCAGCCAGAAGCTTGTAACACTTACTGATATCACTATAAGTAGATACCATGTGTACAACGGCGTATACAGTAGCTACAACAGACAAAGGTAATGTAAGCAAAATAAATTACCTTTATCTGTAAAACAAAGACAGGAAAATAATACAGTGATACTAGAATGCATTTTTCACGACTTCTCTGCATGTCAAAGTGTCAGTTTGGCATTTACTGTTATTGGACGTGACATTTCACGCGTGTGGTGCGAAGGTGAGACTTACCGTTCACCCATGACATTGAACTACCGTATATATATATATATATATATATATATATATATATATATATATATATATATATATATATATATATATATATATATATATGTGTGTGTGTGTGTGTGTGTATATGTGTATGTGTGTGTGTCATTTGTGTCACAGGAGGTGGGAGGAGAGGGAAAAGGAAGAGGAACAGGAGGAAAGAGATTGTCCCTGACCTCATCTAGAGCAGCGGTAAGCATGTTCCGTCAAACTGTCTGTGATCACTGAACCTTCTTCCCAGGTCTTTAGAATTCGACTTTAATTGATTTTCTGTCTTGTGATAATGTTTAAAGGTATTCACGTCCTCTGTTGGCCCTCAGAGCTTGGCCTCAGAACACGGTATTATCACCTCGTATACTATTATAGCCACTTTTATACCTGTGAGATGGTCCTGTAACTCTCTGAGATCGTCTCTGATGGTATTTTGATCGTCTGTTAAACGTTCTGAGTCACCTCTTGTTGGATGCTCTGTACTGTAGGTGTCAAACAGTAACAACGGAGGAGAGACCTGCCACCTAACTGCCTAAACCTTGGAGCCATAAACTATTGTCACACCTTTTGTTCGTATATGAATACAAACTTGACTGTCTTACTCAACCAGGCCAAGGAAAATATGACAAAGTATATAATTGTTTTCTTGGGAACCAGACGATGGTTTGTCGACCTGGTGATCTGCTGCGCCTTTCCGCTCTTTACTGCGTCTTGGAAAATGCATTTCCGAGGAAGGATCTATACTCTACAGGGACATACGGCTGTATTTACTGGAATCTGTCTCGCTTCTTCGATACTGACACGAACACTACTGGCTACTAGACCTTGCAAGTCTGTCTATGTCTCAATGCTGGCTAAAACATCGTTACAAAACACGGCAGTCTGATTTCTCCGCCAGCAAGAGTTACCAAAAGAATGCCGTGTTAGGATTCATTTTTAACGATTTACCACTTGCACCTCCAGTAACTGTTTTGTGCACCTCTGTAAACAAAATATTAAGTTATTCCTGGCCGGGTATAACAGTTTCTTGAGTCAAATCAACATGACCTTAGGAGCTTCATCTGTGGACCACTTCGTATCTCCACAAGGGTTCTCGCTTATGTATCTCGTGTAATAAAGGTTTCTGATTACTCGTTCACTCGTGTCTAAGCTTTGTCTATTTGTGCTTCGCTGCTTTATATTCACCATATCTATACCAATTCCTCCCTCTTTTCTGTCTTATACTCTGATGGTCACTGTACTAATTTGCACTGACAGTAATAATCTTCCTTTCGCCTTAAAATCCCCAAGACTTGTTAAAACACTTGCGCTCCCACGACCTCATTTTCACGTTATGTAAACACATCACTTGATTTTCTCTTTGGTCTCCCCTATGACAAACAACACGGTCCCTCTGCTGTATCTATCATTGATTGAGAGAGAGAGAGAGAGAGAGAGAGAGAGAGAGAGAGAGAGAGAGAGAGAGAGAGAGAGAGAGAGAGAGAGAGAGAGAGGAGAGAGAGAGAGAGAGAGAGAGAGAGAGAGAGAGAGCGAGAGAGCGAGAGCGAGAGAGAGAGAGAGAGAGAGAGAGAGAGAGAGACCTTTAGATGTACTCTTTCCCACCCTCCATCAAGACCAACCCCCTGACATACACAACACGTCTTAATATAACCTCTCTAACTTACTCTTTTACTGTACAATCAGTTTCGTCGTCAACACACAGTCGGTCTGATTTATGTTAGCAAGTTACTTCACCCATCACACTATGTTCCTCGCGCGTTGATTGACGAAAAAATAAAAATAAAAAACCGCAAAATATCTCAGGTCGCTACAACCCGGTTCATCTTTTTGGGGAGGGTCTGAGAAGCCTAATGTCGGCATCGTAATAAAAAAATAAGTAACTGTAAACAAAACCACAATGAGAACAAGATCAATTAACACCATTTCCATCAACTTCGAACCACGATCAACTTACCCTTTGGAATACTCGATATCATGAGTCGAAAACCTGAAATCCCAAAGTTATTCTATTTTCATTTCTCTACCAATTCCTGCGTGTCTCTGTATCAGCTCAGTCACGCTTCGTGTTATATCCAGCTCGCCTTGTTCCCGGGTATTAGTCCATTTCCCAACTCTGTTCGTTTAGTGTCATAGCCATTTCGTGTAACTGTGCCGTGAGAGTATCTACCTACCAGTAATTGCCTTGACTCCAATGAATACATATAAAGTCTATGAAATTTGAAGCTCTTTTTCGTTTTGGTTCATCATCGTGTATAATAAAAGTGTAATTGTTTAATTTTAAAGTCGTTTCATTTAATTATTCTTAGGAAATACACGAAATTAATCCCTGGAAATGTGTTCAGCATCTCTCCATATTAATCCCCAGAGGAGTGAGAACTTAAACACTTGGTTCCTGCCTTACTCTTGATCACCTTGTTGGAGACTTTAACGTATAATTACCTTTAAACCTTTAAACCTAATCGTTATTGCTAAAAAAAAATATTCACTCTTTAGATATGTCTCGCCAGCTAAATAAATTTATTAACTTAAAGGGAATTATTTATTATCTATCATCAATCTCAGTAATGGAAATAGAGCTGGTATTACGTCCATACTGACATCTAATACGTTCTAATCCAGCTGTACGGATTACCCTGCCAGTCTCAAGTCTCCAAAGCTAATGTGGGAGTTATCTCTAGTCTCCTGGGCTGGCTCTCTCTCTCTTATCTTACATCTCCTGAGCTGACTCTCTCTCTTATCTTACATCTCCTGAGCTGACTCTCTCTCTTCTCCTGCGTCTCCTGGGCTGAGTTTTATCCATATTTCAATACTGCATTGTCAGTCTGTAGTCATGACAATGTAATCGTCAAAAGTCAGTGTGCAGTTAAGTAAAGTGAAATTTCAGTCTTTTAGAGAGATATATCAGTCTTATAAATATTCAGACTTATAAAGTGAGATCTCAGACTTGTCAAGTGAGTGAGTAAGTGGTATTACTAA